TTCAAAATTCGAAGACGTTGGATCAAGTACCATGACGTCACACCTCCTAACCAGGACCCACTCACTCCCAATCAAACGTCCCCAAATTCAGACATCACCCAGTACTAACGTACACCTCGCCGCACCTGATTGTCCCCCCCCCCTTTTTTTTTAATTTCCCTTTTTGACACTGTACGTTTCAAACATGTGTTGAGAATGTCCATCACAAAGTGTGGGAGAGCACATCCATTTGAGTGGGACCCACTTTCCGACAGTGATGATTGTTATTACAGCAAACTGTAAACCACAGCCACAGGGTAAAAAAAAAAAAGTTTCCAAACCAAAAAAAAAAAAAAAGAATAGTGTAAGAAAAGGGTACGGTAGTCTGTCTCCCCCTGCATTATTTTCAGAAATTATACGTATCCACTAATCTATGCAATTGCAAATTACTGGATAAATTTTTCCTAAATTTTCTGCCTTTTTTTGGGGTAATTAATTATTTATTCTTTTGTGTTTTTTTTTCCCTTCTCTTTTCTAGTTTTTCTTTACCTTCTCTTGCTGGCTTGCTTGTTTCACATCAGTTTTTTTCTTCGATTTGTTGATCTGCTCTAGGTCCCGATCTTTAATGGGCACAGGGGATCCTGGAGAGTTGAGCTCGAGAGAGAGAAGAATCTGAAAAAGGGTGGATTTTTGTGGGAATTTACTGATGGGTTGTGTGTGATGTGAAGGAGGTGAAGATGGGGAGGAGGAATTGGAAGAAGGGTTTGTGTTAAAGTTTGTTTCTTTGAGTTGGGATTTTGTGCGTTTGGTTCGATTTGGTTGGATTTGATATGGGTGGGTGTTTCGCTTGTTTTAGATCATCAAACAATGATGGAAGTAGTAGTGGAGGTGCTGTGAAGGAAGTAAGCAACAAGGATTCGGCTAAAGATGGCTCAGTGACTCAGTCTAACCATGTCAACAGAGTCAGTTCAGGTAAAAGTCTATATTTTTAGGCAATTCGTTTATGATAGTCATCTGGTTCACTGGTTAATATGATCAACTAGGTATATTGAACCATGGGGATCATTTTGTTTTGTTTTGATGATAGGAAGCCGTTGGAATTAGTTATTGGTGTGATCTGAGACATTTTTGGTCTTTTGGTTGTCTATTTGATTTCAGTGGTCTGTTGGATTATAGCTTTGTAGCTTTGAGAGTTGTAGTTTGTTGAAGACATGCTTGTTGGTGGCTTGTTTTGATGGTGATTATGTTTGAATTTTATCTGAATGAGGCGGCAAAATATTTATATGAGATCTGCTTTTAGTTTTGGTAGCTCCAGTTATCTTGCTGTCTTTTGTTTGCATTTCTCTTTCAATCATTACTGTCACGTTTATGCGTGATTAAATGCTTATAAGGTCATTTTAAGTGAGAATTTGGAAAGTTAAATGCCAATCTGGACCAGAGCTGAATGTAAGGATGAAAATCTGTCTTGGATATTTCTGGCTTTGAAGTACAGTGGAGAATGCGGTTTCAAGTTATAAATTTAACATTATATTAATCACCATGAACTGTACAATTAGGGCTTGTATGGACAGAGAGTGTGTGATTTGGTTTATACCAAACTTACACACAGGCAAACACAAAACATGTCCTGCCGAGTACCAAAATATATTTTTCTATTGCAGGGAGTTGTCTTCTAAGTCTTGTTTTCTTTTTACTCAAATTTGATTCTTTTTTCACTTGCTTTTCCTTCCCTTTTAGCCTGTCTAATGTTATGATTTGCCTCTTTTAACAGACAAATCAAAATCACGAAATGGCTCTGATCCCAAGAAGGAACAGGCAGTTTCCAAAGAACCAACACCACATATTGCTGCACAAACATTTACATTTCGAGAGCTTGCTGCAGCAACAAAGAACTTTAGGCCAGAATCTCTATTGGGTGAGGGGGGTTTTGGGCGTGTTTACAAGGGTCACTTGGAGACTACAGGACAGGTAAGCTGTGATTGTGAATGCTAGAAGTAAATTTCAGCAATACTGAATTTAAGACTTTCACTGATATGGTAGTTTATTGGTACTCGCGTTGCCTGTTGGATTTAGAATCTTTCCAATGGTAAATTAATTTTTGAGAATTACAGTATTGAAGGATTTTAATCACTGAGTTCTATCTATTAATTCATAATTTTTTTATTTTTTTATTTATTTTTTCGTGTTTACAGGTTGTTGCTGTGAAACAGCTTGATAGGAATGGCCTTCAAGGAAATAGAGAATTTCTTGTTGAAGTTCTGATGCTTAGCCTTTTACACCATCCGAACCTTGTCAACTTGATTGGTTATTGTGCTGACGGGGACCAACGCCTCCTTGTCTATGAGTTTATGCCTTTAGGTTCATTGGAGGATCACTTACATGGTAAGATTGCTAATACACATGTTGCTCTAGGCTTGTGCATAGCTTGATTGTGTTATCTTCTTGAATACTAAATGTCACCCTAAAGTTACCTTTTAGTATTACCTTGCTTTTCTCTTAAATAGATATTGTGATTCTTTTAACCATCGTCCATTTTAGCTTTTTATGATGGCAGCCATTTTTCATTCATTCATAAGGTCCAAATTGAATTATTGCTGCTTCAAGCAGTTGCACATGATGGAAGAAACTGCCTCTCTGTTTCAAAATATTTCAAGTCCACATGCACAATTTACTGCTCATGAGTGTCTATCTATATTTAGCACCAAGGTTTCAGTTGAGTGGGATTGAATGGCAAGTATGTGAAGCAGTGTTGTGCTTCTTCCAGGATAAAAATAATGCATTATATTTGGGGTCTTCTAGCTCAAAGCTTTGTTGCTGTGGTTGGGTAAGGGTGTTTCCATGGGTTAGAATCACAAGCCAACAGAACTCATGAAATCTTGTATGCAATTCCTATCATTATTTTTTTTTGGACATTCACAGTAATCATGCTTGTTTAAGTTGTTTGGCAACCTTTTGTATTCCTTCTTGTCGGATAAAGCAAGGTTGGATTACAATTAAACTGGTAAAACAGTCTATAGATGCTCATAGACTTATACAGCTTCTGGATGGCAAAAATTTAGGAACTGATTCAGAATTTAATATACCCTTTCAGAATAGAAAATGAGGTATGATTTTGAAAACTCAGTAAATCTTTAAGTGAAGATTATGAGCATAAAACAATAAGACTTGTGCTCTGCGAGTATCATATCAAACTGCCTTAAATTTTTTTATGAAAACCATAGTTATTAGAGGTTTTGAGATGAATGTCTTGAACAGTTACTTTTGCAATTGAAGTATTTTGGAGAACTTAGGAGTAGTCTAGTAATATCTGCTGACAGAAAGGAGTAGAAAACTGGAGGAAAAAAAGGAAAGGGAGGGGGGGGGGGGGTGTTGAAATTCACTTTTAACTGAAAATCCACCTGAATTACATAGAAGTTCAAAGATATCATGCCCTGGAGTGCATGGTGATAGAAGGCCTTGGTGGTTGTGATAATTAAGATTTTTGAATCTGGTATGTTGGTTTTCCAAAAATTTTTTCTGGGTGATTTAGGTCTTATCATTGAACTTGTTTTGGTATTACAGATTGGGGAAGAACAAGAGTAGTTGTGTTTGGCATGGTATTACTCTTAAGCATCGTCCTACATCACATTTTTACTGGTGGTTGGTTGGTATTGTGAAAGTTCAAAGACCAAGTAGCTTACTAAGCTGTTAATAAGGATGAACATTGACATTAAATTCATATATTTTTTAAGAAGCTTCAATCAAGGGCAGTTGTTAAATTCAACTTCTTGTTGTTGTAATAGTAGTTGGGACAATTTGGTTCTGTGGTTGAATAAGTGCTTGGATTTGAAACCATGCATTTTCTATAAAGTTGAATTCATGTACTGGTCTAGCATGAGACTGATGTTATTCAGGTGCTCCTGGTACTGCATATAATTTTGTTGCACCCTGTCTAAGTTTCATATTATTCTTGCTTTCTCAATTCAATTAATTTTTCCAGTATTCTCTTTGTTGGCTTTTCCTTTGAATATTTGTGCTTCAAAATCAGTAGGGAAGAACTAAGGGATATTTTGTTCATGATAAGGTTTGGTGCAAAATTTTCTTAAAATGTCAGTTAAAGGTTTTGGCACATGCATAGAGTTCTGTCTCATATAAATACATTGGATAATTGAAATTGTCACTTGGTAATTGGTATAAATGAAAGTAGAAAACTATAAAATATAGATTGCTTCCATGTTACTTACTATGAGAGTACGCACACAGAGGAAAGCACAAGTATCAAAATGGCCAAAGATCAATCAATAAATCCATTGTTTGTATTTCAGATAGAAAAATGGACTTCCCTTTTTGCAGCCTATTTTACTACAACTAAATGATGATGCTATAACTCATCACATTATCACTATTGAATTCACCATTCGAAAGGTGCTAGTTAGTTGAATGGGGTTTTTAAGTGACATCAGTACAGAATCTTTCTTAAGTTTTCTAAATGCATGCATATTGAACTGAGTATTACTATTAGCTTTACGAGATTTATGGCAAATCATGTTGATCACTATTTTTCAAAAAAAAAAAAGATCTTCCGCCAGACAAGAAGCCCCTGGACTGGAATACAAGAATGAAAATTGCAGCTGGTGCAGCCAAAGGATTGGAGTACTTGCATGATAAAGCTAATCCTCCTGTAATTTATAGGGACTTAAAATCTTCCAACATCCTTCTTGATGAAGGCTATCACCCTAAGCTATCAGATTTTGGGCTTGCAAAACTGGGTCCTGTTGGTGACAAAACCCATGTCTCCACTCGTGTGATGGGTACATATGGTTATTGTGCTCCAGAATATGCAATGACTGGCCAACTCACCCTTAAATCCGATGTTTACAGTTTTGGAGTTGTGTTTCTTGAGCTTATCACAGGGCGCAAGGCCATTGATAATACAAGGCCTCCTGGAGAACACAATCTTGTTGCATGGGTAAGCCTCTTTTCTCTCCAACTTTACAATATTGTGTTTTGGGAGTTTCCTTTCAAAATGCTTCCTGTTGCACAATGACTGTTTTTATCTTCTATTTTCTTCTTATGGATTGGCATGACAAGAACAAGCTTTCCCATGTCTTTTACGTTGTGATTGTTGGGGTTTGTAGGCACGGCCACTTTTCAAGGATCGCAGGAAGTTTCCAAAGATGGCTGACCCATTGCTGCAAGGTCATTATCCGATGCGTGGACTGTACCAAGCCCTTGCAGTTGCAGCCATGTGTTTGCAGGAACAAGCTGCTACAAGGCCTCTAATAGGTGATGTTGTGACAGCCCTCACATATTTAGCCTCCCAAACCTATGATCCAAATGCACCAAGCAGCCAGAGTAACAGAGTTGGACCTTCTACTCCAAGAATGAAGGATGACCGGAGGAGTATGACGGATGGGTTGGACAGCCCAGATGAGCCAGGACGTGTAAGGCGGCACGGTTCCCCCTCCATCCATAAAAATTCACCTGATTATAGGAAAAGGGATCATCATGTTAGGGAATTGAGTACTGGTGCAGAGTTAGGCAGGAGTGAAACTGGAGGTGAGTCTGGCAGGAGATGGGGTTTGGATGATTTAGAACAACAGCAAACTCACAAAGATAGCCCTCGGAACATTGCAAGAGGAAGAGAAACCCCAAGGAATCATGATCTCGATAGAGAACGTGCTGTTGCAGAAGCAAAGGTATGGGGTGAGAACTGGAGGGAGAAAAAGCGAGCAACCGCAATGGGTAGCTTTGATGGTACAAATGACTGATTGTGCGTCAGCACCCAGCCATGTCATTTTGAACATCAAGGGTATAAAAATGTTGTACCATCTCTAAGGTTTCATCCTGCAAAAGAAGAAGATACACCATGCTTTACCGTCTCATTTGCCATTTCCACGGTGGGAATAAGAGTTCTTGCATGCATCCATCGTCTCTGACTGTTGTTGCTTGTCCTGTATCGTTCTTATAGTGGAGTACGAACAGAATGCTTCAGTTATGTGGTTGAAGGAAGAAGACACAGTTAAGGACAAGGAGCGGGTGTGGTAGATTTTTGAGGCATATTATACAGGTAAATTCCGCTTGCCTAATGTTGTAAGGAATCTGTTGGTATTTATTATTGTCTTTAGGGTTTTCTAAGATTCTTGTCAAGGGGAAATTCTGCGGAGAATGTCTAAATTTTGCCCCATATTTGTTGTCTGTATGTTGGGACACTTAGTGGGATTTGTGTGGTTTATCTTCTTTAGACATTGTTGTTACATATTTGAGCTGGTACAGCATGAATTTATGAGTTCAGCTTTCATGTTTTCGGCTTATACATTCCAGTTTCCTCTAATTATTTTCAGTTTCATTGTTCACCGTAAATGATTTGTTTTGTTACAATTCAAAGCATTGTCGTCCAACGACAAATAACACTGCAGACACCATATAAAGTTACCTGTATTTCTAGTCAAAGGTATAAAATTTAATCTTTTATCTTTACCTGAAAAGCAGAAGGGGACATTGCGGCGGAGTTGTTAGCGTGTAATTCACAAGAGTTGAATTTTTTTCTGGATTAACTAACCAAATACAATTTGCCCAAGCATTCATGGTTTGGTTGTGATAATAATTACCTAAAAATAAAAATTAGAGCGTTAGTAGCCAAAACATATACCTCATTGTATAACGCGGAACAAGATACTTCTAAGAACTATAGCCTAGCACCCCTAATTCTCATTTATACAACTTAAAAGAACCTAACACATGATCTTAGCCCTTCCATTGGTACTCAAATGACATCGGGTTTTAGCATAGTCTAACATGCAAACTATACCCCATATCAGGATATACTTCTGATTGGAGGCTTTCATCCAAATTTGTAGTTTGCAAATGTCACTTCCTCTTCTTTCCCTTCAACAAGAAAAAGAAAATTGTCAGCATATGAGAGTAGTCACAAAATTCCTGAATTTTTATCGGACTTACCGAGCTCACGAAATCATCCATTGATAATTGCTTTCGTTTCTTTAGTTGACCTGAACTCTCTGTTGGCTGCTGCCTTCCACCACTACGCTTTGATGGGTTCACACCCTGAAATGTAAAATGGCAATTAAGATAAATATACAATGAAAGTTTAAATAGTAATAATAATAATAAAATTGAAAATTCACACACAAAAAGAAATGGTAAACAGGATGAAGAATGACAGGTAATATATTGTAGTGTGTCAAAGCATGCGTGAATTTTGGCATCTTGATCGATGAGTGATGAGAGAACATAGACAGAACCTTGGCTAGTTTCTTCTCTTTTCGGGCCTGTCGCTCCCTCTCATCGTATTCTTGGTTTTCCTTCTCCACCAACCGAATAAGGGTGTCACATCTCCTTGCAAGCTCTTGTGTGGTGCGAGACTTCACAAACCAGTCAAATCGAAACAAGGGAGAAGTGCGGAATGCTGCCTTGAGCTCATCCCAGTTCCCATACCCAAGCTTGTGAACCATGCATATCTGCAACATGATGCAAGAAATAAATACCATGACAGCCTGGTACAAGCACTCATTGAGGCAGAAAAGATGAAGGATAACATACCATGAAACGATCACATTCTTCATTATACAACTTTCCTTTGTTCTGGCCATACTGGATCTTTAGTTCCAGCCATGGATTCTTGTAGCGATCCAACTTCTTCCCAATTGCTTTCATGATCTCATCTTTTCTAGAAATTCTTGCCTCCCCTCTTTCAATATTCTTAATGATCCTATCATAATCTGCAGATAGATCCATGAAAATAACCAAAATGAGTATCAATATATTACAAAATCCAATTCAAACAGTCATCCACTAAAACTAAAGTCCTAGAACCTATGAGAACCACCAACTTTTTTTTGGTCAGAGAAAAAAAGTTCCAACCTGAAAATAACACAACCAGATCCAGTTCAAACAAAAATGAAATTGGAAACTACTTACCATTCAACTCCTTGTATCGTTCTTTAAAAACTTTAGCATAATGTTCAACATCCTCCTCTGTTTTCCCTTCCATTTCTGCAGCAATACTCTTTATATCATTTCGCCCATACTTCTCACAAGCCCTAATGAAAGTATTGAAGTCTCTTCTACTCCATGAAGAAAATCCCTTAAAGAAAGCAATAATCATAAGTATGAGAAAAGCAGGCAATATTGAAAACATATTTACAAATGAACCACACAATATATCCAAAAATTTCAATCACCTCTTCTAATAATCGATCCTTTTCTTCCAACTCTTCAGCAGTCAATGGATCTCCCCCTTCTAGATAAATAACAATCAGTCATTAGGAGGAAAATAAGAAGAATATGGAGCATTATCAAGTGCATCATATAGCCAAAACTATAATACCTTCAGGTTCATCAACGTCAATTGTGTCTTTTACTTGATTCTTCTGATGAGTTTGCTGTGATTTTAATAAAAGGATAAATGGGAAAGAATTAAAAATAACTCATGCAGAAGACACCTGCTACTGCATTCAGCGAGCGACTGGCTATTGGGTTGGGATTTTCAGGGAGTACACACTAAACACTAGCATCAGAACATAGAAAAATGAATGGAGCAGAGAAAAAAAAAAATCATATGTCACTTTGGGTACATACCATGAGATAGCGTACTTCTTTTTCATACAACTCACTTAACCTCTGAGTGTTGAAAAACTGGAAATCATGCCTGAAAAGAGGCAAAAATTAAACCTTGCCATATTTTACAACGCCGGTAAAAAAAAAAAAAAAAAAATCACAGTTGACAAAGTACTAACAATTGGGGCATGCGAGGAATTCGAGGCTCCTTTGGTTTTGTTGGACCACCTTGGCGCATTGTTTGTTTGAAGTATTCAGATTCTGAGTAACTGATTGATGGAAAGGAAAAAATACATGTTATAAAAACATAGAAAAGGCAGAGAGTACCACTAATTGGAATAGAGAAATTAATCTGACTTACTTGCGCTTTCGCTCTCTTTTTGGGGGTTCAATCCAGTTCTCACTGACAATTTTCTTGAAGTCAAACTTATTCTCATCCTATATCAAGAAAACAAAAACAGGAAACATAACTTAGGTTCACCCTGAAAAATTCAAGGATCAAGCAACAAAAGAACAGAATACCTAGAAGGTTAGAAACAGAAGATAAAACAGCTTTACCTTCTCATCATCAAAATCATACAACTCAGCAGCTACAAAAGCAATAGAACAGTATCAGCAGTTAACATACATTATTTTCTGAAAAGCAAAACACATAAATACATATAAATTAATAGGGCATACTATCATCCATCTTAAACTTGATTGCATCTTCAGTGAATTTCTTCATTTTGGCATCAAGTTCAGCTGTTGCTGCTTCTCCTTTAGCAATGATTCTATCAATGTCTTCATCTGTAATTGTGCTATCCTTGGAACTAAAGACCATTTCAGCACCAAACCTCACCATTTGAAGCAACTCATCTTTATTAACAGCTGCAAGAAACAAGAAGACATCAAAGTATTATGTGTACAGAAGTTCAGCATCTCACAACAAATTGGCATCATAGAAACCACTCACTTTTCTGCTCTGCCAATCGCCCTTGTTGAATTACCAGGGCATCCAGTGCAAGCTTTTTATAAGCCCTCTCAATCACTTTTTCTTCAATGGTATACTGTTTCACAACCAATTACAATCAGAATTTACACCAGCACAACTTAGATCCTCAACAAGCAAATAAAGGCAATTCCCAAACCTCAGTGCAAAACCGGAACACTTGAACTTCTTTCTTTTGCCCAATCCTGTGAGCACGATCTTGTGCTTGCAAATCAACTTGCGGGTTCCTACAACATTGCCTTAGCATACCCATCCAAAGAATAACCACAAGCAATAACTGAATAAATATAAGGTAGGAAGCTTACCAATCACTATCATAAAGGATAACAACATCTGCAGTCGCAAGATTAATACCAAGGCCTCCAGCCCTAGTAGATAACAAGAAGACAAATTTCTCACTGCCTGGCTTATTGAAGACTTCAATAGAAGCATCACGATCTTCTCCACCAGTGTTTCCATCAATTCGGCAATACTGGTACCCACGAAACATCAAATAGTCTTCAAGAATATCAAGCAGCCTTGTCATCTGGATAAATCAGCCACAACAAAAAAAATTTTAAATGGAAACCTTGGAGAAAAGAGAGAAATTAAACAGAAAATTGCACATTATAAAAGCGAAATAACAAAGTCACAGTTAGAGGTATGTATAGAAAAATAACTAAGACATTTCAAATTATGCCACACAGACTCGTGCTAACAAAGGAAAGATTCTATGCAATCCTTAATGTTACCTGTGAAAATATTAGAACTCTAGAATCACGCTCTTTTAGTTTTGGAAGTAGCTTATCCAACAGAACCATTTTACCTAAAACAAAAATCACGAGACTATGAGAAGACCAACAAATCTTGCCAATACCAAAAGAGCTTGATATATTCCGTGGAGTAAACTTACCAGCATTTGTTATAAGATGATCTCCTGTGGTATATGGCGGTCCAGGTTCAGCACCTTGGAAAAGATATGGATGATTACAGCATTTACGGAGCTGCATTGCTATGTTCAGCAGACGTTTACGCTCTCCACCAGCATTAACAACTTCTAGATCTTTCTGAAGTAAAGCCCTGTAGTATTGCTTCTGCATCTGGGACATGCCCACTTTAAGTATTGTTTCCTTCTTTGGAGGCAAACCTTTCTCAACATCTGATTTCAATCTCCGAAGAAGAAATGGCCGAAGAACCTAAAAGATGCAAAAGATAGAATGTTAACCTCAGAATAAGAAATGGGATGATAACTTTCATTTACAAGGGAAAAGATTCTAAATTACCTTGTGAAGTTGTTGAACAACTTCCTGCTGGTCATTTTCACCAGAAATCTGGAACCACTCATCAAAAGTTTCAGCTGAACTAAAAATCTCTGGTAGTAAAAAGTTGAGAAGGGACCAAAGCTCGTGGAGATTATTCTGCAGAAAGATGGGTACCAAGAAGAGATAATGAGTGCATAAAAATGATTCTGGCAGAGGCGCAAAAACCATTTCAGATAGTGATTCTAGTTCTAGACAAACTCTTGGTATGGAAGACATAGACAGAAACAAATAAAAGAACAAAACATAAAAAATTGGGGAACTAAAACTGATCCTGCCCAAAACATGATCTTACTCATGCCACCCCCCTGAACCACCCAATTCCTTAAAAGACATCAATCAGAGAAGGTAAATGAAACCAGAAAACAGCAATAATTTGCACTTGCAGCTGACATCTGCCTGATGTCTTTCTAAAAGAAAAGACAACAAAAAATATTCAACACTTATGTATATGTCACAGGGAAAACGATTCACACCAACACTAAATCTATTCTCAAAGAACTTAACAACCATTTCCACAGTATTTACATAGAATGCATACCTGAAGTGGGGTACCCGTAATAAGAAGGCGATAATTAGTGCTATAGATTCTCATTGTTTTTGACAGGAGTGAGTTCTCATTCTTTATTCGATGGGCTTCATCAATAATTATATATCGCCAGCTAAAACGGCGCAAGACAGACTTCTCTTTGATGGCCATTTCAAAGCTTGTAACACAGACATCAAATTTCCCGGCAACTAGTAACTCCTCTCGGATGTATCTCTGCAGATGTAATAGAAGTTCAGGGAAAATTCATGATGAAGAAAACTTTTTTTTTTTTTTTTGGCAGCTGCTTGTCAGCATAGAAGTATGAACCTCTAACCTTGACCCCAAATCAAGGTTTTTAAGTTTGCGGGTACCAACTCAGCCAAGCTCTTGTTGGAATAATGAAGAAAACAGATACTCAAGCTATAAAAGTTACTCATTAAAGCATGCTTTAGTTACCCTTTCTTCTGGATTCCCAAGAAACTTTACAGCACGCAGAACAGGGCAAAAACGACGAATTTCATTCATCCAGTTACCAAGAGTTGATTTAGGAGCAACTACCATGTGAGGGCCAGTGATTCCCCTGTACTCATGTAGGTAGCCTAATAATGAGATAGTTTGCAAGGTTTTACCCAATCCCTGTAGAAAGTAGGTGGCAATTAATAACATTATGCAGTGTGATTTAATATGATATCAAAAACCAAACTAAAGTAATATATCCAAGTTAAAAGGAAAAAGCATCATAGGAGTATATACCATTTCATCTGCAAGAATTCCATTAATACCATTCTCATACAGACGTATGAGCCAGTTCAAACCAGCAAGTTGATAGTCTCTCATCTTCCCCTGAATACCTGTAGGGAGTAAGAAACAACCAAAATGGCAGCAGAGCAGTTATAATTGAGTTCACCAACTGAAAACCTCAAGCAGAAAATGTATAAAGCACATACAAGATGGTTGAGTCACAAGACGTGTGTTTCCCGCCCCAGACAAACCATCTTCTTCCTCCTTAAGGCACTCTTCATCCTCTTCCTCTTCAGTTAATTTTGAGGCATGACGGCCCCTGAATCAGACAGGAGGAGAATATCAAAGTCTATAGCTCAAAGTAATATGTTATGGGCAACAAAGAGCAAATATATTGCTGCAGAAACAATCCAAAACAAATCCTAAGATCGAATACAAAGCAATGTTTATCTCTTGTAACCAACAAAACTATCAAATTACAAAATCAAGGTAAACTATCAAGTACAGAGCTACCATACCTGCCCTTGGCCTTCTTTTGAGATGATGATTGGGCACCTTTTGCAAAATGAGCAAACAACTCAGTTTGCTGCAGAAGATAGTTCAAACGCCCCTTCCCCTTATTATTCTGTCAAAACATAGCACATACGTTGAGCACAACTGATAATTTAGATAATGTGTTTTCCCATGTAAAGCACCTACCATATCTGCATCAATGGCAGCATTTTGAACATCCAATATTTCCTGAATCTTCTGTCTCTTCATTTTCTGAAGTTCTTTAAGCCTATCTTTCTCACGTTTGCTTAATTCTGCATCAGCCCCACTATCCTCCTGCATACAATGATACAAACAACCAATAAGAAACAAGTGGGAAATAGAAAATGTAGAATGATACACCACTCCGTCGAGCCTCCAATACTTAGAACTTGACTAACAACTACTGAGGCTGAAACTAATCCCTTGAGAGCCTACTGAACGTCATTAACAAGATCTAACAATTTAGCGCTAGCTTTTTCCAGCACTAGGACGAATGAAACACACAAAACCAAACTACACTGATTTTTAGCTTCTACTATTTCGTAATATTTACAATTTTCTTCAATTTCCTCCTGATTCTCACCAAACCCTAGCCATCAAGATACAAGCACCCGCCCAAAAAAATCTCCCAGGAAAAGAAAGTAAAACGTAAACATAGAGGAGGAGAAATGCCAAACCTACCTCATCGGCCTGATCAGCGTTGTCATCGGCAGCGGCATCCTCGTCATCGTCCTCCTCCTCGCCAGCCGAACGAGCGACCGCTTCAAGCTCCTCCTCATCGTCCTCCTCTCCCATGATCTGGTCATTGACTGGCTCCTCCTCCTCCTCCGAGGAATTCGAACCGTTGGATAGCGCATCGTCGGAGGAGGCGGCCTGCTGCTTGGAGGATTTGGCCATCGCAGATCGAGGGTTTCTGTGTTTGTTGTACGGAATATCGAGGGAAATAAGGAGACCCGACTTTGCGATTCCGAAGGGTACGGCGTAGGCTCCAAATAAAAATGGGAATGAGGGAATGAGGTTGCTGAGTTGGCTTTTTCGGACCGTTGGATTCGGGAGTTTTGAGATCTGCGGTTCGGAAGTCAATTGAATGTCGATTCGCGAATTTCCCGCCAATATACGTTTTTTTTTTTTTCCCCTAATTCTGTCCCGCCAATAAATTGGGGCTTCTTTTAGGCTTAGCCCAATTCTTTCTCTTATACGAGGTTAGCCCAAAAAGGGTAAATCAGCCCATACTTAATTGAGCTAAGCCCGTAGTGGGCGTTCGGGATAATAACTTAGAAGTATCACTTGGTGATTTCATCTAATTCCGCATCAGTCACCGTTAACAACTACCCACTAATTTTAAATAAAAATGGTATAA